TTCTCCATCAGCTTATGACCATTGTTCCTTGTCGCCCCAGGTGGTGCTGGGGGGAAAAGGGCTCTACCTATTTGCTGTTGATCTCCCCTGATGAGTTTGTAGGCAGCCACCAGGTCCCCCCTCAGCCTCCTCTTGCTGAGGATGAACAGGTTCAGATCCTTCAGTCTCTCCTCGTAGGGCCTGTCCTGCTGCCCTCTCACCAAGCGGGTGGCCCTCCTCTGAACCCTCTCCAGGCTGGCCACATCCCTTTTGAAGTGCGGCACCCAGTACTGGACGCAGTACTCCAACTGCGGTCTGACCAAAGTCGCATAGTGGGGTAGTATCACCTCTCTGGACCGGCTTGAGATGCATCTTTGGAAGCATGACAAGATATGGCTGGCCTTGCTGGCTGCGGTCTGGCATTGGTGGCCCATGTTCATCTTGGAGTCAATAATGACTCCAAGATGCCTTTCCGCCTCTGTGCTTTCAAGAAGGGAACTCCCCAGCCTGTATGTACGCTGTGGATTCATTCTCCCAAGGTGCAGCACCCTGCATTTGTCTATGTTGAACCCCATCCTATTCTTGTCTGCCCACTTTTGTAGTCTGTCTAAATCTAGTTGCAGCCTCTCTCTCCCTTCAAGTGTGTCCTCGCCCCACATCTTAGTGTCATCAGCAAACTTGGACAGCATGCTTTCCACCTCCTCGTCCAAGTCACTGATGAAGATATTAAACAGTGCGGGCCCGAGGACCGAGCCCTGGAGTACCCCACTGCTCACATCTTGCCAGGTTGAGTACAGCCCGTCTACCACTACTCTCGCTTGACTGAGCCTCCACAACCTCAACCTCCTCCAAGGTGCTGTTTTCCAGAGAAGGAGACCTAGGTCTAGGGGAACTTTGAGGGGTGTGGAGCACAAACTCTGATTCCCCCTTGGTCCCTTGAATTGCTTGAGCCAAGGCACTCAGGTCCCCCAGTTCCAGCTCCAGCTACTCCTCTGGCAGTGGGAGGCTCACACTGGGAGATGACACTGGGGTGGAGGAGACAGTGATTCTACTGCTGGTGCCTATTTCTGGACTGAGAGGAGGTGATGCAGGTGCAGGGACATCAGGTACAGGTACTGCTCCCACCTCCTTGCTTCCACTGGCAGCAGAAGCCTCATGGCTGCTTGGGAAGAGGATGCATATATGTTTGTGGGGGGCAGGGAACTTGCAGCTCTAGCTCTCCTCCTACTCCCTCTCCCTCCCCTGCCAGAAGACATGGCACCTGCTTTCCCAGCACACTTCATATTAATCTCTCCTTTGCTGCAAAAGGTCTGTGTGTGTGTGTCACTCCTTTTGTGTTGTGTGTTTTATTCCCTCTGTTGTGTGTGTGCACTGGACTCCTCTTTGATTGTTTGCTTCAGTAACAAGAAGTGTTAAGAGCTATGTAAAAAATGTGTGCTGTCTGCCTGTCTTCTTCTCCTATGAATATCTGATTTTTATTCTTCTGTGTGTGTATATTGTGTGTGTGTGTGTGTGTGTGTGTGTGTGTGTGCGCGTGCGTGCATGCGCATGTGCATGCAATCTGTGTGCCTCCCTGCACAGTGATGGATCTCATGCAGTTCCCAAGAAAGAACAAGCTTACAAAAGGCACAGCACGCCTGCAAACAGAGGCTTTTATGCTGTTTCTAGGTCCTTCCCCCCAGACTGTCATTGGAAAGGCAGCCAGAGAGAAATCCTTCTCACTGGCCACCTAGACATGTCAGTTCCTGTCCGAAGCTTTTCTGAATCGGTTCAGAAGCTCCAAAACAATTCAGAAAGCCTATAGAAGCCAGCACTTTGATTTGGACATGCTGCTTCGATGTCCGAAGCACCCAAATCTTTTCCGGATCCAAAGTGCAGTCCGAAGCCTCGCACAGCCTTACAATCCACTATTATAAGGCAACATGCAGGACTTGTGGATGAGATTGAATTACTTTTGATTTTGTGGATTCAGGATCAAACTCAGTGCTGTGTGCCTTTGAGTTTAGCCACCATTCCAGCCAAGGCATTGGGTCTTTTTGACACTGTGAAGCAACAACGTGGCAAGGGATCCAAGGATGAAAAATTCAGTGCAAGTAAGGGGTGGTTCATGTGTTTTAAAGGCAGGTGTCAGGCAGTCACCATGTAAGGACATATGCCCCAATGTCCTGCTGACATTCACTGGCCCCTCGGGGTGGCTGCGCCCCTATGGTCGAGCTGGGTGAGATCTGGCGCCCTTTCCTTTCCTGCCTGCCACGATTTTGATGATATAGGAGATTTGTAAAAGGGAGGTGGTGACTGCCTGTCTCATGCCTGGATCAATCGCAGGGGCTGCCCAGTGCCTGAAGCCTGGACCCAAAATAATGGAAGGACCAGCCCAGAGCCAACTTTCCAATTCCACCTTGGTTTTTTTTATTTACATTTTTTTTTTTTTCCCCTCCAAAAGTCCTTTGACCTTTGCCCTCTTCTTCTGGGCATCTGCAAGGTGTCCTGTTGCCTGAGGCTGTTCCCCCAGGATCTTCAGTGGTCCACCTTTCTGCCTTGGTCTCTTCCCCAGAACTTTAAAGCTAATCCACAGCAGGCTTAATTACCAGCAAGCACTGCTTCCACAGCTGGGGATTCCCTCCAGAGTGATCAGCTGGGGACGGAACATGGTCCTCGCTGCTCAAGGTTTCTGCCTACCCTTGTCTCAGCCACAGAGCCTCTCCAGGGACTCGCTTCTCTTCGCTTCCTGACCAGATGCCTGGCCTTGGTCGGAACTCTTTGACCGGCCAAGAGACATCCACGGGAGAGATCAAAGCACAAGGGAGAAAAAAAAAAGGTACGGAGAGAAAAAAAAACAACACTGCAGTGAACGGTTTGGGCAGATCCCTCACCTCTGTGGTTCCCAGGGGTCTTTCCCGGATCCCCTTCTGCCGGCTGACCTCTGCTACCCTCCTCTTCACTCCTGCGGTGAGGATGTCACTGCCTCCTCCCCATCAGACCAAGGGCTCACCCACACTTCTGGCTCCTCGGTTTTCCAGCTCTGCTCCTTCAGCATCCCTCTCCCCACCATCTGCCCCCGGCCTTCAGATATAGCCCGCGCTGCAAATTGGCTCCAGTCTGCTTCACCTGGCATGGAGGTAAAGCCGGGCTGGTGCGGATTGGTAGTTCCTGTTGTAGCCTGGCTATCGCAGCGTGAAGTGATTCCTGTCCCTGGCTAGGGGCACGCCTTCGGTGAGTGCCCTCCGGGCTCTCAAAGCAGGTATGTCTTGCATAACATCAGAGTGCAAGGTGAAGCTGCTAGTGCTGATGAGATTGCAGCTCAAGATTTTCCTAAAAAATTGGCTAAAATCATTGAAGAGGTTATTGTGCCAAGCAAGTCTTCAATGTCGATGAGACTGGGCTGTTCTGGAAGAAAATACCTCGCCCAACAAGAAAAAATATGTCTGGTTTTAAAGCAGCTAAAGATAGGCTTACCCTTTTGCTTGGTTCAAATGCTGCGGGTAATTTCAAGCTCAAACCCTTGCTTCTTTATCACTCTGAAAATCCCAGAGCACTTAAGGGTTATGTTAAAGGCAGCCTTCCAGTCATTGGGAAATCAAATCATAAAGCTTGGGTGACTGGGGACCTTTTTGAGGAATGGTTCACTGACTGTTTTGTGCCAGCTGTTCAGAATTATTGCGAGAGGAACAACCTTGCACAAAAGTTGGGCATCAGGCCCTTGGTCAGGAACGTAACCCCCTGTTATAACATAGTTTCTATGGGAAAAATCAGATTTGACTTGCATCGTTTCAACTTACAGTGCCTTTTCTAGGAATGTAACCTGCTGTAAGTGCGAGGACTGCCTGTACAGGCCACAGATGATTTGGGTGATGAAATGCAACGCTTTCCAAAAGATTGAAGAGCGCGAGGCAGCAGCTCACTGGGACATCATGGCCAGCACAATAAGATTCCTTGACCTGGCTGATCAGTTCTGTCAGAATGCTGAACTGACCCAGAAGCAGGAAAGAAAGATTAAACGGGAGTTCCTTAAACAACTGACCCCAGCCCCCATTCATGAGCAGCAATCCCACCATCCCCCCCCCCTTCTCCCCTGCTCCCTTGGGAGCTCCAAAGAGAACCCTGTCCATGATCAGCCCCACATTGCAACAACCACATTAACAGGCGCTGTGCCTGTGACTGAGGGGCACCCCTCCTCTAGCCCATGGGTGGGCAAAATGCAGCCTGCAGGCTGCATTTATATGGCCTTTCTATATCTATATAACCAGGCCTTTCTATATGGCCTGCGGGGCCCCTAAAAAATTTAGAAAATTAATATTTATCTGCCCCTGGCTGCCTGTCATGTGGCCCTTGATGGCTTGCCAAAACACAGTAAGCAGCCTTCTGCCGGAAATAATTGCCCACCCCTGCTCTAGCCAGACAAGGAGAGCACCAGCACACTTTGGGGATAAAGGAGAGGGTGAGACAGAGGGGGACTGGGGTAGGGAGAAGAAAACCCAATGACGGGTGATGGGTTTTTAGCTGTTAGTGAACTGCTCATCTTTCTAAAGGAAAACCAAGGGGAGAGTGAGACAGAGGGTGCAAGAGGGACAGGGGGAAGAGCCAATGATGGGTGATGGTTTTTTAGTTGTTACTGATTTGCTCATCATTCTACAGGAAATTGGGGGAGTGGGCATTGTGTTCCTGGGTTTTTTCTGTTCTGCTCTGGTTTACTAACATTAAAATTAATTCTTAGATTAAATTAAAATGAATTTTTATCCATGTCTGTCTGCTGACAGGTGAAGGATTGCAGAGGTGTGGCCCACCTGCACTCCCCCCGGCCCCAGGTTGCACCCCCACTGCATGCAGAGAGGTGGGAGGGAAACAGTACAAAATTTTATTGAGCTGCCCATGTTCGTATATCTGGGCAGGCCATGGCCTCTGAAATGCCAAACAAGGCATTGATGCTGGTGGCAATGTGCTCCTCGGCAGCAAGGGCCAGGGATGTGTAACACTGCCACAGGTAGCCATCCATCTGGCAGCAGAGGTAGTATGGCAGCTCAGGCTTGCCCCCAGCACTGTTGTAGCTCAGGGTCCTAAACTAGGAGTGCAGGTGTGCCCAGGGCATAGTGGCTTGGGCACCCCTGTGTCTGCACAAACAGATCATTGCACACCACCTGGGGCACATGCTGTAGGGGCATGCTTGGGGCACAGCAGTGGCACAGGGTGGGGGATAGCCCTCTGGCACCTCCCCAGAGAGGCCACCTGTGGGGAGGGCAGGAGCATGGCCAGACCTTTGCCACAGTTGTCCAGGAGCCCCCCACACCCCAAGCCTGGGTGCCATGAGCTGTGTGGCAGCACAGCAGTGGCATAGTGGTCAGCCTGCAGGGAGAGAGGGGGTCAGCAGGGTCTGTTGCTGTGGCAACTGGGAAGGGGGCAGGGCAGGTAGGCTGCCTACAGCCAGCATGCAGTGGGGTGATGGACCAAACAGGGACAGGTGGGCTTGGCCAGTGGCTGCCTGGGCACAGCCTTGCCCACCTGGACAGCTTACCATGTTCTCTGGGCACCCTTGCACTGCCAATCTCTGATTTGAGGCCGGGTAGAGCAGGGCCCCTGGTGCAGACCATCTTATCGCTGCAGTGTTGCAAACTTGCACAAAAGGCATCTGTCTCTTGCCTGTGCAGGGCCAACATCTGGATGCTAGAGGGTGCAGGGCCCTGCAAGAGTGCTGCCTCAGGGTCATCATGTGCTGTTGCAGCTGCCTGGGTGAGCCAACTGTGTCAGTGGTGCTCCAGGAACTGGTCCCTCCTGCAACCATAACATTTCCTCTGAGCACATACAGCTTTCCAAAGTTCCTGGGGCAGCCCACCCAAGAGGAGAGCTGGGGGTTTTCAAGGCCCAGGCTTTTATTATTTTGACCAGAGACAGACAACGGGCAAATCAAGGCTGCTTTCTGGTGTCACAGCCCAGAATTTGGCTAAGGCGGGGAACCATAATTGTGCAGGGCCTCTGACCACATCAAGCTACCAAGAAGTCAGGAAACAATTTCCCCCTAGCTGTCCACAAGCTAGCAAACCCCCAGTCTCTGGTTCCACAGTCTACCTCTTAAACAGAGAGAGCATGAAATGAAAAGTCCAACAAAGTAAAAGCAAATAGGAACCTTTACTTACAAACAACAACAATAAAAATACTGATTCAAAAGTACTATGAATAACTATGGATTACTATACTATAACAATTACTAATGTAACAGCTGCAAAAAGTTCACCTGGCTACAAGTTGAGTGGGTGATCTGTGCTTGCCGGATCTGAGCTCCTTAGTTGCCTGGAATCCATGCCTGGGGTGGGTGGCTGGATGTCCTCTGGGTCAGTGCATATATATATATGCTTCCAGGCTGTTTGACCAAAACTGCTGTTCTGTGTCTCTGAAAGGAGAATGCCCAATGAACATTTGGGGCTCATTAAACTCCTATGAGGTGTTAAATGCTCAGAGCACAACACATCCAACAGGGCCAGAGATGACCTCCACTGTTGTTGCAAAGACGCCTGGCATAGTTCTGGATGTGCTAATGGGACCTATTAAAAAAAAAGGGCATGGACACCCACATTAGCCAGCCAATCCTTAATTTGGGGTTTGGCCATTTCAGTGTTCTGCTCAGTGTGCCCTTTTTTCCACTGACTGCATCTCATGTAAAAAGGGGATGCTTGGAGACTTTGGACACTTGGGACTGAGGTTTTACTGGTTGCTACTGTGCTCCTGGATACCTCCCATAGCTCACCCACCCTGATCCTCAAGCCCCAACACACCCTAGGACACCCATCTGTTAGTACAGTGAAATAGGAGATGACAAACACAAAACAATTTCTTCCAACTCTTTATTTAATTAAATAAGAAAAGGAAGTCAGCAGAAGATTGATTCATGTCTGGCTCTGCAGCTACACCTGGTGTGCTAAAACATTCATTACACACAAATACCTGCAAATTACACTGGAAATTACGTGCAAATACCTGCAAATTGTAATGACATCTGGTGGACAAGGGGACTCACTACACAAAAATTTTAACAACACCTGGTGGACGAAGGGGCTCAGTACATGGAATTCAGTAAATTACCATGTACACCTGACAGATTTATGGCCACATTGCTGCAATTTGTAAGGTAACTGTGAAGAGGGACTGGATAAAAACGAGTGGCAAAAAAACCGTGGCGGAGAGCCAGTAGGGGGAATGCCGCTTCCGGAGCAGCTGTTTCTTGCAGATTGGCAAGCATAGGGCAGAAGGGCACGGCGTGTGGGAAGGGAGAGTGGAGGAGAGGAGTGCTTGGCTGTGGAATCGGAGGAGTTGACTCGGTACGCTAGAGAGGGCATGTATGGGAAGGTAAGCGGGGAGCCTCCGGAGAAGTAACTGGAGGCGCGGAACGCCAAGAGAAAAACAAAAAGGGCGCGTACGGAGAAACAGCGAGACGGGAAGAGCCTTGAAGCTCT